ACGATTTTTGGTGTTACAGATTTAAAAAATAATTGATACAATTAAATGAAAGTGTTTTATAAAAACATTTATGTAGCATCTCCAATACTTGTATAAAATCTTTTGCAATACCATTAGAAACTATTATGTATAATAACCGTTGTCATTTAAAAATGTTACTGTATATTTAATGAGCACTGTTACATCATTCGCTTTTAATAAGTTTTAAACATTCATTGTTGTGGTCTTTGATTGACAAAGAAATTTATTAATATATTTTCTACCTAGAATAAATTATAAATAAATACATTTAGATTGCTTCTACCTAAATTCAATGTAATTTTGAGATTCTCGTTTGGTATAAATATCTGAAACATCAATTTTGAGTATTACATATATAGTTACTTCGATAACACGAAACATCTAAATTACTGTTAAATAAGATTCTTCCTTCGCTAATTCAACTAATTCATTCAGCTGCAGCTATTACAAAGTACGAATATAATAGGAAACATGTATCATTACCATTCATTCATATTACACTTATATAAAAAATAGGACAATTCTAAACTGTTCGATCCTAAACATTGATATGAAAATTGTGCAGGTTACAAGGTTGAGATTTGATTCACCTCCTGTACTTATTTTAAGAGTATAACGAAAGATAGTTTACAATCTGTATATAATTTCACTCTCAGTACTAATGTGAAACCGTCAATACAAATTGCGGCAAATTATGTTTAAAAGCATTTTGGTAGAACATAAGTACGCAGAAAGACCTCGCGAATGACATACCCTGTACGCGTGTCAATTTATAAGGGTGTATCAGGAGGTCACCGTTAAAATGGTCGCGACCAAACCGAGTGTAGCACCTGTCATTAGAAGACTTCTCCAAATTGCTCCGCTTATCTCCTCTGCGACGGGGTACTCTATACATAGTTGCTCCTGGACGAACAATATACATAAGAAACGAATCATATTTTTTTCTTGCATCCTCAGTAACTAATTTCAATGTAACTCTCAACATTACAAAAATGTACACTTACCCATCCGCCGTATCCTTTGATAAAATGTGCAACCTTTTCGCCAATAAATCTGGAGACATATAACGGCAATTTCTTTTTTAAAGCATGCATTCGTTTAGCTCGGGCCCAGAGAGCGAGCCTGCCCATGAATGCATACAGACAGACAATTCTTGCCCATGTGACACCGCCGTGCAAGAACAGCTCGTCCGCGACTCCCATGAACGCCTCGTATGCCGTATCCGGCGTTACGTTCAAACGATTCACCATACTCGCGAATAGAATACTGTGCTTGTTCAACATTTGATAGACATTGTGTCTCATGCTACGAGAAACCGGGTCTCGTGATATAAGATAAATGTCTTCCTTCAATAGGTACCGTATAACGTCGTTGGCTAAACATTCTGCCGTACGTTCTATTGAATCCACACAAAGATTGTACCGCGGGGACGAAATTGATTGCGGGAAGAGATGTTGTAGACGAATCTGAAAGAGAGAATACGATTTTTCTCGTTGTACCGCGTCGTTAGATACGAAAATCTTTCAAACGTATACATAATAATGAACGAAAAAAAAAGAGAGCAAGACAGTAATTGAACGATTAACGGTTCTTCGTTCTCATTATGTACTTCAAGAATCGAATGATGTAATACTTTTATGTGTCAAGTACTGCTGTATATTCGAGACGAAACATCGAGGGGCTGCGAGATTTAATTTGGAAATTCAACTTTTGTATTGATTTTACCGAAACACGGGCAGGAGGTTTCTAGCGAGTTAGAGGAAGAGAGAAAGCATGGAGAACTCACTGGAAGGGAGACGTAGAACTCATTGACAGTCAAAAGGAATTAAGAAGAGATTGCAAACGCCGGCAGATCTCGTAAATACGTTTATGTGTCGTACCTGAGAAAACTCGATGAAAGACATAGCAGTATTGGCAGTGCCGATAGCATATCGGCACAGAGAGCCGTTATCGCCGGCAATCACTGTACCAACGCCTCCGTTGCCGTTACAGTTGTTGCCAATCACGGTTTCGAAGCTCACAGTGGAACGATCGTCGTCGTCGTCACCGTCACTACAGGCTCGTTCGCTCGGCGAATTCTTGTTACCGGGTGGATCGCATTCCAGGATGCCGCCCACTCTGGAATGCGGTTCCCTCCGCACTGACGCACTCTGCCCGCTCTGCCCCTCTCCGTCCGTACCAAGGATCTCATTGTTCAGCGGAGCACCGTCGTCGTCGAGCATCCTCGTGCACGACCGCCCGCACTGATCTTTTCGTGACACCGGTTCGAGCATCGCGACTCTTACCAAGACCAGACCGGATTAGCCGTGCCGTGCCGTGCCGTGTCGTACGCCGCCGCACGATGTTCGCGAGTCGAGCCAGACTTTTTACTTTTTTTCACAGCATCGCAGCCAGCCTTTGTGATTCGCTGGCGGAATTGGTGATCGCTCGCCCGAAGCGCCGGGTAAATGAGCGCTCGCAACACGAAAAACTTCGGCTCGCCAGCCAGACGACGTAACGCTCTCTACTTTCCCGCGGCCATTTCCGAAGCCGAACCTCAATCCGCACCCCACTTCTGTAACCGCTACGACCCCACCAGCGCCTTTGACGTTTCCCATCGTTTCACTACAATCCCATTCCCTCCCATACGTACAGTACGTTTTACACACCGACACAAGCCTCTCTGCCGGAGCACACAACGGTACCGGCGTCTATGGATCATTCACTTTTTCACCCCACCATCGGCCACCGCCGTATTCCGGCACGCGGTCCACACCACCATGCGCCGGCTCCAACACAGACCCACGCATCGCCGCATTCAAGCCGTTCTCTCCGTTTCTCTCTTGTACACGCACCGCGGACCATGCTATCTCTTCTCCGCGAACTCTCTCGTTTCTGCCCTCTCATTCTCCTTTCTCTTTTTACTATCCAGCTCGGTGAGGCGCCGACGAGATGACCTCCCACCCTTTCTCACTAAAGGGTGCTTTCGCGCACGTGCACGGCTACAAGCGCGAATACCTGTATGCGCTCTGGGAATCGAACGAGCGGAATTTTCGATGGAACGCGGGGTTCGCTCGGTATCGGGCACCGTTCCCAAGCCATATTCCCGCCGTATTATTCACGTGGAATGTTTCTTGAATTATCATGATACCACGCTTGAGCACGGAGTGCGATTATAATCGTGTAAACGGTGATGCGATAATTTCGACGAGAACTTATTATTTAAATTAGTGCAGTTAAACTTAATGATTATGAGCTAAAATGGTTTCAAACAGAACTTAAACAAGTTGGAGTTATGTATGGAAGCAATTAGAGAATGTAATTCTTACTTTTATCTTTCCTTCTACTTTATATGACTTTTGCTTGTAATTTCCACTTGACAATTAAAAGTTTTGTGGGGAACTGAGTACAAATATGAAAAAGTAACAATGATTGATCTTATGTAAGCTTCGTATTTCACCTTCACTTTCCTGTTAAGTGTAAGTGCTTCATGTTATGTGGAAAAAACTAGTAAATTATACTTTTCTTATATTTCTTGCATTACTGGTTTTTTTTATCAATGAAAGCCACAAAAATTATAATAGGCGTCAATATTGTTTATAAATAAACAATGCTTTGACATAATTCTTGTGAAATAGAGTTAGACGGCTTAGCGTTAACTCCATTGAGAGATAAAATTGTAATGAACGTTATTCATCGATTGCAAGGAATTGCGACACTTACATGGATATGTATAGCGATTGTGCTGGCGTCCACGGTGAAAGCACGTCACGGTTGCTAACCCAAAGGTGACGTAGAGAACGTCGGGGATTGGGGATGACGATAGTATTCCAGTCATTAGTAGTTTCCCATTTCATTGATGCCGCGCTCCCTGCTAATATGACTTCCTGTTATAAATAAGTATGTATACACATACTACGTAGTCATATAGTGCATGGTTCATATTCATTTCGCTTGGGTTCCATGAAGTTCTTCGGCGATAAGTTTTTCTTTAGTAATCAGAATGAACATCTGAAACAATCAGTACGAACTATAAAAGTTATTTCTCTTTCCTGTTATTTTTTATTTATTATTTTTATTGTCCCATGAAAGATCATGTTATAAAAATAAATAATAAAATAGATTTCTTTATTCCTCACAAAGTGCCAAAACCATGTATTAGAATATTAGAAATCATACGTTAAAAATTGCTTTTGACTTAAAGGGCCACGTTAAACAATTTTATAAACCTTATTTCTAAATATCATTTTTCCTAAAAGTTTTTCCAAATATTGGACATAGCATTCTATAACATTTTTTAAACATTTAATAGACGCCTGTCAGCTCGTACAACTTTAAACAAAATTTCTACATACAACGATACGTAACTATTACGTTTGTGAAATACTTCTTGATAGCACAAAATGTTAAAGAAGAAAGAAGTACGAGAACCGGAAAGACGGTAACCAATGGTCCTGACTTGATTCTCATGCAACGAATACAATTCTTGTTTGAATGTGACGTCGTAATGGTATTCGTACGTGAATGTATATACAATTTCCAAGAAGGAATTATTATGTTGAAACTGGTCGGCGTGCACGCCGGCAGACTCCGATCGGCGCGATCCGCAACCGTGCTTGCTCCTTTCTGCCTGCGCAACCTTCAAAGGCCACAGAATGCGTCGATGAATGAAGTAGGAAAGTTGCAGAGTGCCGGCCGACCGGATGTGTATACATACTAGGTGGCTAAGAAAACGAGAGCCTTTAAGTATGATACATAGTCGAGAAAATTTAAAGAAGAATAATGAAAGAAAGGGTAAAACTTAGAATACTGAATAGTAATATAACCCAGTAGATATGAACAGTGGGTTCTAAGCTTTTTGTTGGATTATTTGTAAATCGATATAACAAAAATGAATCTTATGTTTATAAGGAATTGTACCCCTGGCACAGCATGTTTATACACGAGGCAATTATGCTAATCAAGTATATATGATTGTTTAATACTGGAAGCCTTGGTCATAAACATTGTGCATAGCCGGGGACGGTTTTCTGTGGTAAGGCCCGAAAACTTTGAAGAGCGGTAGGCTCTTCCTCTTTAATAAAAGATTACTTCAAAAAACTTTCTTTCATTGAACCCATTAACTAATACTTTTAATGAGAATCTATTCTTCCTTATTTCCTTTAATTTATATGAATGTAAAAAGTGAGAATGTAGATGTGAAAAATATATCTATGTTTCTTTTTACGGATACAATTTTTTTAAATTACTTTTAGCAGCGTATATTCTGATTCATTGATGAAAATCTGAGTTAATTATTGTACTGTGAGAAGCACAATTGTCTTATAATTGTTGAGTTTTATATATAGATCTTTCCTTTATAAAGACATATCGGTCAAGGATTAACCCTGATCTATAAATTTCAAATTTCTGCGTTTCAAAATGATAATGTTTGTCAATGATTACACGTTCGACTATAGAAACTATTCCAAGCGATACGAGAAAGGATTTCTGCTAACTCGGGCCTGCAGGTGCAGCGTTTATTAACGCGTGCGCGCGTGTTGGTGCAGGTAGTTTACCTTTCCGTACCAAACACGGATAATCTATACGCATAAGGCATTAAAGCTTGACAACCGGACATGGATAAATTGACAATATGAGTCACGTGTAAATGACATCTAATTGGGTCATTATCTTACGGTTGTTTCTTAAAGTGGTAAGAGACGCAATAAAGAGCACTGTGGATTGGCGAAGTTTCGGGCGACACATTGCTCTTTACGTAAGGGATAAGAAAAATTTAGACGCGAATCGTTGCACGTAATACACAGTACAGATATATCTACATTAGCACACGAAAGTGCTTGAACACTTTTTCGAAAGGAATAACTTTTTTCATATTGGACAAAACAACTTATTTTTCTTCCAGATGCTAGAAATGTTTCAGTTGGTTGGTCCAATATGAAAAAACTTCCTTTTTGAAAACGTTTTCGAACACTTTCATGAGCTATACATATGTATGTACATTCTATCTGCGAAGTGCACAATTTCTTTCTTATAGTGCAAGAAGTATCAGATACGCTGTTTCCTGCTGTTTACCTATCTTAATTGTGTATCCATTTTATGATAAATCGTTTCAAAAATACATAGATCATTATCGCGAAGCGATTACCACCCTTACTTTACACAAAATCTGTGAACGTACTTAGTACGAATATTTTCTAGTAGCTAATAACAATTTGTCCTCTGAGAATTGAAAGGCATCAAAGAGATTGCACGGTCATTTTATAACGATAATACATCCCTCATTGAATTACCTCAGATTATACTCAGTGGTTTTATCTGTTTCTGGCCCATTAAGATGTCAGACAGCCTGGACAAACCATATCAACTACCGCGACATCCGTCAAGATATGATCACGTGTCTTGATAATGTTCATACCGATTGAAAATATCGTTTCATATTGTTTTCTCTCAGCGAAGTGGACCGTGGGAATACAAGAGAGTGAGCAGCGTATAGTGTTTCAGGGGAACTCGTGGCAACCGGCTCTCGGTGGCTTTTCTTACCGTCATTCATGATACTATGGTACGGCAATAGGATGATTGCCTGACGGCTGGTGCCTAAAGTGGATAAAGTCTTCTAAGTATAGTAATTTAACTCGTACAGGGCGCAGGGGTGCAGAGGCCGGGCCCTTCGGTGATCTCTTTCTTTTCTTTCTTTTAAATCTCAGACAATACGAATGAAATCACGATCACTTTTCCTGCCGTATGCCCGTGGAACATCGATTAATCGTGCAGAATTACTAAGTTCGCAATCAAGGTGTTTCACGCTTAGGAAAATAGAAATAGCGTTACAATCGTTTCGCGTACCGCTTCGCTAATTGGGTACTTGTATTCCATTCGTTTGTCTCATTCAGCTTCGTCAAGAAGATGGTGTATCAAAAAACTTGAGGTAATCGAAAGATGCATTACGTCGTACGAAATGAAGTTATCAATTTCGTGCATAAGAATAATCAAGAAACGAATGAAATAAATTCGGGAGAATGATATAGTAATGACTATAAAATAAAGTGAACATCGGCCTCTGAGTTGGAAGACGACGGATTTGTAGGATCACGAGGAACCACTTCCTGTCATGTACGAAATTTATTTATTCGACGACAAGTTCGCGCTTCGCTAGTTATCCTTAACCGTGAGTTTTATTACTTCCGTGAAGTTGTTAATGGTGGGCTATTATCCCCCGTCGCGTGAGGTACACATTTTTTCTAATGTCGCAGGGCGGCGGGAAGAGATGGAAGGGGACCGACTGATTTCGCGGTCCCGTGCGACGTCCCTGAGTTGGCAGTGGTACTGACAGATTGACAGACGTACTCGCCGCGAACTGACCCCTTCGTAGTGATTTAGTTGTCCGTCTATCGACGCTCCAGCTCTGAAAAACTTCCATCGTCGAAAGATCAGAAAAAAAAGGAATAGTGCCGCCGGAAGTGTTGTATCAAAACGAATGAGCTTCTGCCGGTTCGAGATCGTCTCGAAGCGAGATATTATGATTAGGTGAGTCTTGTCTTCCGTTTTAACGACAGTTCTATCTGCACGGCTTTATTTGATAGTAGGAACTAAAACTTATCAATCCTAATTTTCCAAAAATTATATTCTAATCGTATGTCTTATGAGAAATTGATGTCAATTATTTCATTTTAAGTGACATTTCTGAGTTGATACTTATGTAATATTTTTTTCATTTTAATGAACACATCATAAGCTGAGATACTTTACCTAATTTTTTTAA